ATCTACTGCCGAAACATACAGAGATGTATTTATCAGCAAAGAACTTCTGCCTAGCGCAGAAGTATGAATCGGCATTGATACTTGCCCTGACGATAGTATTGCTGTTAACGACTGAGGCATTGACATCGTTCTTTCGATCAAACAAATGTCTGGAACACGCAAATCGATCCCACCGGGCGTGCCAAATTTTATGTTTGTACCGAAAAAATCACCCTAAACCGTGAGAAAGAAGGGGACAAAATTTCTTAAAACATACAAAATCAAGCGATTGTGGATGAGTTCAAAACCTGCCTCGGACCTAAAATTGAGGGCTTATGGTTCACTTTGGTTTGTAAATAAAGAGAAAAAAAATAAAGAAGAAATGAATAAAATGGCCGCTTGAAGCCAGCTTTACTGAATTGACAAGAAATGAATCGGCTGTGAATAGCCGGAAACGTTAACGAACTTACAAGAATTAACGTTGAAAAGTAAAAGAAAACATGAAAGCTTGAAAGAAAACAAATGATAAATGCTATAAAAGAACTAAGAATATGATTTTGGTGTTGAATTCTGTGTGTCCTCGGCCGTATCTTTTTTATAGCTTTTATATGGGATTCGCCAATCCTAGTTGGAATGCAACCGAAGTCGAATCCAATAAGGACTTCTGTTGCGGCTGAATCCTTCTCTGACAAGGATTGTGATGTTGATGACTCCTTCTTGAATTCAAACTATTGCCCGCTGCTTCCTCCTTGAGTAATAATACGGCGGGCTTTATGATTTTATTTTCTCCATTATTATTACTGCGAACGGCCCAATTCATGTGGACCAGATTTGCCAAAATCAGTCCAACAGTCTTCGGAGCGAGGCTTTGCTATAATTGGAAGTCTGGATGAAGAAGAAGTGACAGAAGATCACAAAGAGAATCACCAGGAAAATTGCTAGTGAGAAGGCATTTTGATTCAAATCCATGGTTTTTTTTTTTTGACAAACACACGATATTATATATTATGAAAACCTATGCTATTACATTTGGCTAAATTATAAACTATATTATGCATCTCACTTACGCTTTCTCGAGGAACTTTGACTATTTTGTATATAGTAAAGCCTCTAAGAAGACTGTTAATTTGGGCAACCAGTCCCTGAACCTCTACTGGTGAGGTATTAGGAGACAATTGGTTAGTTAAGAACTCACAATCCGTTTGAATCCTAATATATTGTAGATTCAGATTGTAAGCTTCTTGGAGTGCCATCATCATAGTTGTCATTTCTGCCTGTAGGGGGGAGAGGGCTGGCATTTTCATTGTTTTGATTTGCATGACAACTCCTTGTTTGGTGGTAATCTTCCATGCTCCCGCCGCCATCTTGGTTGTTGGTTGATATGATCCATCTAGAGTAATGATATCTTGATTTAAGTCTGCCTCTGGATCATCCATATTTTCAATATCATTTGCTTGTATCATCCGGTTAAGCTTTTCCTTTTCTTTTCTGCATATTGTTTGATGTATACTAAAATCCTGCTTGATTTGATTCCATGTATGTGACAACTCACATTGTTGATTGCGCCATAGGGTGTTGTTTCTGTTGATCCATATTTGCCATAAGGTGAAGATAGATAGTGTGATTGAGTCATCCGTTGGCACTTCCTTTAGCCATTTGAAGAACCAGTCCTTGAAGCTCATAGGATGTCCAACATCAAAGTTGAAGCAGAAGTTGGTGATCCTCCAGAGCCTCTTGGATGAGTCACAATTCAAAAATAAATGTGAGTTGTCTTCTGCCGATTGTTGACATCGCGGACAAAATGTATCTTCAAGGATACCTCTTTTCCTCAGAGCCACTTTTGTGGGTAGTGCATCATGTATGCCTCTCCAGATAAATAGCTTCATTTTTGGTGGCGCATTACTCTTCCCTAGTCTCTGCCAGGCTTTCTTCTCATTATCCATTCTCTCTATGTCCAGGGGATATTCCTTGTTGTATGCTACTTTGTAGCCTGATTTGACTGTGTAATTTCCATGTTCAGTTCTTGTATGTAAGGAATAATATTTGGGGGGAAGATCTTTCTTAACTACGGCATTTTCCATTGCCCTGTTGAGTCAATCAGATGGGAAACTCTCAGATCTGTGTTTGTTGCCAGAATTGAGTCTCTGGCAATTGGATTGTCCTTTTGAGGAATCCAATTTTCACTAATCTTGATGTTTCGTCCTGATAGCACTTTCCATTTGATGTTTCCCTCCAGTAGTTTGAAGCCCCATAATATGCTCTTGTAGCCCCAGGAGAGGTTGGACATGCGTTCTAGTAGCATAAAAGCCTTGCCTTTATTATACTTACCTCTGAAAAAACAAGAAAGCAAGGAGTTAGGTGCTGATATGATCTTCCATACATGCTTTGCTAGTAATGCTTAATTAAATTCTTCCGTGGACTTGAGCCCCAATCCTCCATGCAATGGTGACCTGCAGATTTTACCCCACGCTCGCCAATGTATGCCTTTGTTGTCCTTGTCTCCATTCCAGATGAATCTCCCAATAATTTGATTGGCTTTCTGTAAGGTGCCTTTTGGGAGTTTAAAAACTCCCATAGGATAGACCAACATGGAAGATAGTGTGGATTTAGCTAAAGTCACTCATCCTGCTAGTGTTAGCATTTTTGTTTTCCAATCTCCCAGTTTGCTGCTTAGTTTGGTAGTGAATTGTCCAAAGATGGTTTTCTTTTTTTCCTCAAAGTCCATACTCATTCCAAGATATTTACTCTGGAAATTTGTGGAAGTGATGCCCAACATCTGGTGAAGAATTTCCTTTTGATGCACTAAAGAGAATTGAAGACTTTAAATAATTCACCTTCTGCCCTACAAACCTAGCATATTGGTCGATGAGATAAGCCAAAGCTGTGGAGGATGATTCCTTGCATTCTAAAAAGAACAGACTATCATCAGCATACATGAGATGGCTCATTCATGGAGCATGGTTGCTGATTTTTATCCCTAGACCCGGGAATCGTCTAATTTCTGATCTTATTGCCGAAGAGAGAGTTTGTTGACAAAGGATGAAGAGATATGGAGATAATGGACAGCCTTGCCTTAGCCCTCTATTTGGTGAGAAAAAGGATGATTGCTCTCCATTGAACAAGATCGAGTATGAAACTGAAGTGACACACTTGATGATTAAAGTTACCAAATGCTCTGGAAATTTTAGGTGTGTCAATACCTATTTGAGGAAACTCCATGAAACCCGATCATACGCCTTACTCATATCCACCTTCACTGCTACAACCCCATTTTTTCCTTTTTTATTTTTGATGAATTCCACAATCTCATGTGCTATCAAAATATTTTCACTAATGTTTCCCCGGGTACAAACCCATTCTGATGATCGTCAATTAGATCATTCATGATCGATTTAAGCCTTCTTGTAATCATCTTGGTGATGATTTTGTGTTTCACGTTGCAAAGGCTAATTGCACGAAAACACCTAGTGACAGAGGGTTTGTTATCGTGGGTATCAAGACTAGAATAGTCTGATTCCATTCTTGTGGTAATTCAGCAAGTCTTGTGATGTCCAAAACGGCTTGCACTACTTCAGTTTTGATTTCTTTCCAATAATTTTGATAAAACCCCGCTGGCATGCCATCTGGACCTGGGGATTTCCATGGTGCCATCTCCTTAACTGCCTCCAGTACTTCATCTTCAGTGAAAGGTGTTGCCAGGAATTGTTGCTACTCCACTGAAAGTGTTTCCTCCATTTTTCCTAGTAATTCTTGCACTGACATGTCATTCTTGTTTGGGACAAAGGCTTCTGCTGGGGAGATATAGACATCAGAGAAGTGGTTATTGACTAGTTCTCTCACTTGTGTTGTATCCTATACCCAGTTACCATCTCCATCCATCAATTCAGTGATCCACTTATTGCCTTTTTTTCTGGATGCCCATTTTTGAAAGAACTTAGTGTTTTTATCCCCCTGGATTGGCCAAATCAGTTTTGCTCTTTGACTCCAATAATCTTCTTGCATTTTAAGAGTTTCTTCCACTGCTTGTTTGATTTGTATGAGTTTTTGATGAGCTTGATCATCATTGCTGTGTGCTTCCTAGTATTGCTGTTGAAGGTTTGCTTCCTCTAAGAGATTTTGCACATATATATCTAAATTCTTGTAAGTATCTCTGCTCTAGTTCTGCAATTGGTTCAAGCATCTGGTTAATCGGGCTGACAGTTGGGATGGTGTACATTGTTCCTCCTGAGGTGTACGTTGCCAGTTTTGACTCACAATTTCTAGTGACTTGTTGCATCTTATCCAGAATTGCTCAAAAGCTTTCCTTTTTTTTCTGCCTTTGTTTTGTACTTTCACATCCACCAGAATTGGGCCATGGTCAGAATTGAGGATTGGTAAATTTCTGATTATGGCATTGCTAAAATGATTTAGCCAGTCTTTGTTGACAAAGGCTCTGTCCAATCTCTTATATATCACTTGGTTTCCTTGCCTGTTGTTGGTCCATGTATACCAACATCCAAGATGTTTTAATTCTTCGAACTCTTGCTTTTTCAGAAATGTTTTTATGGCTGCAGTATCTCCATCTTTGACTGCTCTGCCACCATATTTGTCTTCTTAATCTACAACCTGATTGAAATCACCTAAAATAAGACTAGGATATGCCAAAGGGGAAAAAGTGCTATTTAGATCAATCCAAAATTATGATCTTCCCTGAGGTGAGGGAAGTCCATACAGGAATATAGCCACCCACTAAAGTCCCCTTGCTTCTACTACCTTAACGACTATTACATTAGCATTCTTATGCAGCAAAGTTACATTCAAGCCATCTACCCAAAATAAGGCTAAACCTCCACTGGAACCTACAGGTTCTACTGCTATGGAGTGCCTAAAACATGTACTTTGCTGCCAGACTTCTAGATTACTAGTTGCTATTTTAGTTTCCATCAAAAAGAACAAGCTAGGATTGTACTGCCTTAATAATTTACATAATACTTGCTTAGTAGGAGCATTATTCATGCCCCTGCAGTTCCAGCTCAGTATTCTCATACTGCTTGAGGCGGTTGTTTAGGATCAACCACCGCAAGTCCTTGGAGCTGGTCGTGAACTGTCACTTGGTCACCAAAAGCAATTGTTAGGTTAGAGATCATGATTGAAGTCTGCTTCCCATCCTCCTCCTCTAGAATCATGTGCTTCTGTTGCTGTGCTTCGAACTGATCTTCCTCCCTGCTTCTTTTGCCATCCTGTCTCTGAGTCTTGTGATCATGGTTCCCATTGTGATTCACCAATTTCTGATTTGCTCCATGAGCTCTTTTCCATCTGTTAAGCCTATCTAAAGTCCTATGCCTCTCATGTGGTGTGTGCATGCTGAGATGTTTTTCCGTCTGCTTCAATGAAGCCAACTGCATGCGACCATACTTCTTTTCCTGAAAGCTCTTTCCCTTCCTTTTGAACCTTTGAGTGTGACTATGGTTGAGCTCTGTCCTTGGTCCACTGCTGTGGTTATCATCCTTTCCCTTCATCTGCATAAGCTTCCTATCCTGGAGTGTTTGTATAGTTGGATCCAGCATCAATGGCCAGTTGAGTATGATGTTTTCTTCCACTTGGTTGATCTTTTCTCCTGCCATATAGAGTCTACTGAAATATTGCGATGCTTGTTCCTCCAGTTGGAACATTTCTTCAGTGTTGTCTCTAATTTCTGTCAGCCTCCCCTGACTTGCCATTTCCTTCACTTGTTCAACACTTTGATTTCCATCCTCTTCTTCCCCACTACTCAGAAGCCTGGTGTGTTGTGCGTTGCAGAAAATGCCCCATGCTCGCTAACATTCAGGGAGGGTATCATCTTTCTCCTCTACCAAGCTAAGATGTGTAGCTATAGTTTCTAGGGTCATAGCTTCTCCCTCAATGTTCCTAACTCCATGATTTCCATTTGAACTACTATCATCTGGGCTAGTTACATAACTTACAACTTGCAGAGTATTATGGTCCCTAACTTCCTGATCAGTAACTTCCTGATCATACAAATCAGTCTCTCCTATTTGACTATCAGAATCACCAAGTATAACATTAGAGGGTCCTATTTGAGAGTGATGCATAATCATCTCTTGTTCATCTGCTACTAATATGTCATTTGTAGATGATGAGTAACTGAAATCACAGGACAACACATTAGTGGGGGAATTACCTCTATTTTTCCTGTACTTGTTGATGATGAGTGACTTGATCCATTATGGAAATCATTTTCATGTGGAGCTCCATGCTCTCCTGGCGGCGGTCCATCATGTTGATTTTCAGCTGTTCCTTCACCTATATCCATGTCTTCCTGACCTCCATTGTCCAGATTCTCAATGTGGTAGTCATCATCCCCTTCATCATCCTCCCCTGCATCTCAATCATCATTGTCCCCGTCATCACCATTATCACCTGGCGGCACATCAACATTCATAGTGATACGGAAGCCATCTCGTATTCTCTCTTCCTCTATCAGTGCATAGTAATTTCTAGTGTGGTTGAGAAAGGCTGCTTATAATCTAGTACATCTGCTGTTTCTATGGCCTTCTGCTCGCATCGTCTCTGGGAACATCTCCCTGAGTTCATTCCTGTACATAGGCGCATGGTTTCGTTCTGCTTGGTCCCTGAAATAGTCATTGAGGAAGGCATCCAAAGCCACATCGGACACTATTGGGCATTTGTGGTGTGGATGGCCCAGTCTGTCACAACGCCTGCAAAACTTATGTAGTTTTTCATATCGGCATTCAATCAGATTATGTGTACCTATGGTTGAAACCACATAAAAAGTTGGGATCACGGGATTAGCTAGCTCTACCCAAATCTTGGCTCGGATGTAAGTAGCCTTCTTTAAGGATGTGGAATCCTCTTTGACTTTCTCCACCTCACCCAACATTGACGCTAATTCCCTGGCTCCCCTCCAGTTGTAATTCAAAAGTGGAGCTTTGTGGAGTCTAACTCACATTGAGAGTTTCATGATTCTCACTCGATCTAGGACGATTTCATCATCTGCATACCATCTCCTTAAGATTAAGAGGCCTCCATGTACTGCATATGGCCCATTATCTAACACTGCCAATAGATCGTTCTTGCAGAGGAAACGTATGACAAAGAAGTTCATGTCATAGTGTTGTACTCTTGCATACAAGGCCCAATTCCCGTTGATGTAGTTCTGCATCTGCTCCCCATTAAAGTATCTGTCATCAATCAGATATCCTAGCAGTGACAAGGGTTGATCTTCCGCTGAGATTGCTTCCGCCGCCAGGGAGATCTGCATGCCGGCCACTCGCATGCCTGGTCTATGGATCATACTTGGATGGACATCCTGAAGTGGATGATAGTTTCTCATCTCTTCAGAGAACTCAGTGCCCTAGGATGTGTATACACTGGAAGCCGAATTTTCACGTGCATGTGATTGATTCATTCTGATCTACTGTTCGCAGGATCAGATCCATTAAATAAGACAAGAAAACACCAATTTAATGCACTCCCCTCCAAAAGAAGGAGTCAAACTGCCAAAGACTTAAAGCAAGTTCTCAAAGAGAATAGCTTTTTGTGAGGGATTTAAAGGAATGTCAGATTGTAGTTGTTTTTAGATCCCATCCGAGGAGCCGTAGTACCGGATCTGTGGCTGAATATAAGAAAAGAAATATAGCACTGCATTAAAGAAGGAATTTGGAAGGTTGTGTAAGCCAACTGGAGGGTCCTTCCTCTAAGAGTAAAAGCACCGGATCTTTTCCAAGAAAGGAGGCTGAAACAAGTAATTGAAAAGGCAACCTCCTTTAACTATTACTCAGATCAAAATATCTGGGAGTATAAAAGGTTTGCATGGTGTTTTGTGCTCCTGAGTGGGAATAAATTAATGGGGAAAAGTGGAAGGTTTCCACCTTCAAAATTGCATGGTGGCCAAGTGGCGAAAGGCTTTACCCTTTCATGCAAGCATTGGCAAAAACCGTATGCTTAATATTGTTTTAGAATAGTCTGTTTTTGGTTTTGGTAGATAGGTAAGTAGATCGAAAGAAATCCTATGAGATTATGGGTTTTCTTTTGTGGTAATGCTATTTTTTGGGTTGTTTCTCTTTTCAGTTTGTGCTTCTCCAAAGAGAGGGGGTTTTCTTTCTTTTTTTTTTAGAGAGAATGCGGTGCGTTTTCTCGCTCTATGCTACCTATTGATCTTGGAAAAAAATAATTTAAAAAAAAATCATGGGGACCAACTCCCACAAGAGTACCTTTCTATGGTTTTTATAAGCTAAAAATCATACGACAAACTCCCACAAGAGTCAAAGTTTGGCCACCCTTTTTGGCAAACAATCTAATGAGTCTAATAAATTTTGTAGACATAAGTGGACATGGGGACCAACAGAATTTGGAAGCGCATATTATTTTTTTAAAACAAAAAGAAATCACCCAATGAACCCTAAATCTGAATAAAATTCCTTATTAATCAGTAGAAATTAAACAATTCTAATACCAGAAAACACATTATCTTAATTAATAGGTTGTTATTCAATTCCTAGAAAAAAAAAAAAACAAATGCAACCCCAAAAGAAAAACAAACCGGCTTAAAAGGCTGATCATACAAAATTATTCTAACAAACAACATGACATCGTCTATCAAATCATCCACGAGGATATCATGTTACCAAAATGGTCAATTTCTGTAAGTAGTCTTATACTATGTGCACACTAAAAAAAGTCAACGGCTTCATCGAACTATGAATAAGAAAGAAGATGGCCTCATCCTGGGAATCAACGAGTGGTTGGAAAGGGCATGGACGGTGGGAGTAAATTAAATATGTCTCTGCTTTAGAGAAGCAAATTTTGCCATGAACAAATATCCTACTACAAGACATCTTAGTGAAATGTACTTTTAAAGGGTTGAAATTATATCTTTATAACTCTAAAAAATTGGTGATGATCACATTCGTACAAGCAGTAGGTTAAATTAAACTGTCTTTTTTTTCCCCTCTATGCGAGAATGATGAGTGATTCTAAGCAGGAGCAAATTTTACGCACACTTCTACGTTCCCATCAGCAAATAAATAAATAAATAAGAGATGCAAGTTGAGCAAGTAATTCAAGCAAATTAAGCATATTATGGGAGTATTAACTTGCTGATCAGTTTCTTCATAGGGGTGCTGATGATTTAGAAACAATTCACAATCAATGGGTAACCAATGAATCACATGTTCATCATCTACAACAGTTAAAATTAAAAAAAACATCTTTAACTAAATCGAGGCGGGGGAAGGGGGAAGAATTTTAGCTTCAGGAAGACTCCAGGAAAATTTTAGCTCTCCCAAACCAATCAAATTTACATTGCAGAAAATATCTTCGGGAGGAATCAAATTCCAGAGAATGAATGTGTAATATCAAAAGAACAACCTCTTTTAGTATCATGCAGAAAACAATGAAAATAGAAACAAAATTCTGATTCAATAGGGGGAATAGAGAGAAGTAACAAGCCTATTTGCTCATCAAAATGTAACAAACATCAGAAGACAATCCAAACCCAAGAATTGATATAGTACTTGGTACACAAACGAGTTGTTCGAAAATATCTTTGAAAGCAAACACAACTGATTAAAGATAAAAATGCAACTGAGAAGGCTCACTATTACAACTAATTCAGACAAAGTAAACTTGGACAAATTAACATAATCTCTTTCACTATTCACTATTACTATTAAGAAGAATTTCGCATGACATTCTTTTGTCTTGGATATTCATCAAGACGGAATGGTGAAATTGGGTCAATGAGAATTTGGAGATGATTATTAGTCTACTAACATATTTCATGTAGAAAACAGGAATCAATACATATGTACCTTTGTGCGTTCAGTAGATGGCCGGACGTCAAGAAGCTTAGAATATTGGAAAGGTAAATGGCTTGTCCAGCTTCTCGTGGTGTCAGGATTTTGAATCTCCCATCCCTAATCTAAGATAATCAAGTTAAGGCCACCAAATAAATCATTAGAAGAACAGAAACATGGGACTGAATTAAATTAACCTGCCAATCATACTATGACAATAAAAAAAATCATAACTTGAGATGTCCTAAAGCTGGACAATTAAATTAACTGGGATGATACCTCATCTTTGCTGGACCAACAGGAAACCCACCCGTAATCAACGGCCATCAAGGACTCCAAATCTGTCACCTTTGTCGACGACCACCAGCGCCCCCAATTCAACCGCCAAAGACCACCACCGCAGATTCCACCATGCGACAACAAATCTTCGCCGCCATCGCCCTCGTACACCATTCTCATCTGTTGTTGTTGTCTCTTTCCTTCTAGGTGGGTTACTGCCCGGAGGACGACCCACCGCCGACATTTATTACCACTCCCAGAGGCTACATCAACAGCAGATTTTGGTTACAGTGGAAAATTTTGAGACCTGTACTGCTCGAAACTGATAGAAAACTTGCAGAGGTAGAGAAGGCGGCCGTAATTGACGAGTTGGATCGATTGAGAAGGAGGAGAAAGGATTTTAGGGGTTTAATTGAGGGAGCAAAACATGAATTCAAACACATTCAATTAAACGCACGAGTAAAAACTCGAAACACATAAAAAGATTGGCAAAACGGCGTCGTTTTAAAACGACGTCATCTTGATGTTAAAATTTAATTTTTTAATTTTGGAAAATAAAGTGTTTATCTATTGATTATTTTAACCCTCATTAAAATCGCTGATGTCATCGAGAGTAGCCAATCAAAATATTCCTTCATCATTGGAATATAATTAGAACCGATTCTTTTATAAGAATAGGGATAAAAAAGGATCGTGCTGTTGAGCGTCTTAATTTTTTCATTTGAACGCCCTAAAAATGACGTACACGCCCCTGCAAAGTGGAGTTATATTGGTTTTTTTTGCAAAAATAAAGAGTAAGGCGAGCGAGGAATAAGCCACCCCTTTAAAGGGTGGCGTGAAATAATCTCGCCTTGCTCTAAAGGGAAGCGAGAAAACCTTCGCCGTGTGGCGCCCTTATTTGTGCTGGTTGGCGTGGCGCCATTTTGTGCGCCACACACCTTAATTATTTTTTTTATTTTTTATTTTTTTTATTTTTTAATTTATTTATTTATTTATTTATTAATGTATTTAATTAATTTCTTTTATTTATTTTAATTATTAGTTTAATGAATTTATTTAATTCATGTGTTTATTTAATTCATGTATGTATTTAATTTATTTATTTATTAAAGTTTATTTTTTTATTTATTTGTTTGGTGGTTAAACAAATAATTTTAACTTAAATATTTAGAGAATGTTGCTTAATTAAGTAGTAAATTTTTATAAAAATTTATCATTTAATTATGTAAAATTTTTTAAACATAAAAAAAAAGTTATCATTTAATAAAAATTAAAACTTATGAATTTACTACCAAACAAATTAATTATTTATCATCGGTGCATCTAGCCATCCTGGAAATATTTTTTTGAAAAAAATTATAAAATATGTAATACGTTGAAGAAAACTTAAAAAGCATGGAAAAATATAAAATAATTTTATTTATTTATTTAATTTTTTAATGTTTTTTCTTTTTTTTTAAAAGAGGATAAATAGTGGTTCTCCATTTACCTCCTATGTGACTCAAACCCATGACCTATTGGTCAAAGGTGAAATGTCTTACCTCTAGACCGCACCTCGTTATCATTTAATTTATACTATTGCAAAGTCAAAATATTTAAGTTAAAATTATTTGTTCAACCGCCAAATAGATAAATAAATAAATTAATTAAATAAATAAACAAATTAAAAAATTAAAAAATTAAAAAAATAAATAAAAAAAAAGTAATTTCGGTTTGGCGAGCGTTTGGGGTGGCGCCAGATTTGTGCGCCACCCCCATTCTCGCCTCCCCCATTTTAAGAGAGGCGAGAAAATTGTGTGCCACCCTTTAAAGGGTGGCGCCTTTCTCTTGCGCCGGCCGTGAAAGGCTGGCGCAATCCTTTTTTGCCCCCTCTCTTTTTTTTAAAAAAAAGGTATGCAAGAGCAAAATAGTTTTTTTAAGATTTTTTAGGGCATTTAAATGAAAAAAATTAAGGCGTTTAGTAGACTCCCAAATAAAGAATGCACATTAAGCTTTATAATTGACGCGGGAAGTAATTGTTGTGCATGCATGAATGAAGTCCTCATTGTACAAAAGCTTTTAAGAAAACCATGAATTTGACCTACGTGTGGTCACCATTTGAGGATGTAAATGGTTCATTGATAAAAATATTAATTTGCAGGAGAAAAGCAGACCTCAACGTTACTTGATTATTTCGGTTGAATTTATATATTACAGTCTATCAATTCTAAATTGAAAATAATTTACTTTGTTGAACTAAAACAATGTAATAAAATAAATTATTATCTGAAACGGAAAAAGTATTTCTTATTTAGTGCCGTTAGGCCATATATGAATTAGGGATGCTAATGCATGTCAGATTGAACCATCCAAGGCAATTATCACTTGTGGAAGAACAAGTATGACAATTCATAACTTGCTTTCTCTGAAATCATGGTTAATTAAGAGCATTTGATGGTTTTTATGTCTTTATCAAATAAAACACACGGTTCCACAAAGGCAATAAAATTAATAGTAAAATTCTTCCTTCGTCGCAACCGGGATCCTAGTTTTTAACTACAGTATTTTGTTCAAAATTATCACCTTCATCTTTTTCTTTCCTTTTTTTTTTTTTTGGAGTTTTTTGTTTTCACCTCCGTCTTTATTCGACAAAAAGGAGTAATGTCCAAATGTTTTTAGTATTGTGCACAAATGCCACCGGACGTCTCTCAAGTCATATCAGATTCTTGTGTTACTTACATTTGTTCTTTTTTTTTTTTACATTTTAAATTTTCTTGGGCTTCAAAAGAAATTGTTAAAACGAAGTCCAGATTTGTTGATGCCCCAAGCATGACTTCTCTTTTTTCCCGTTTTTAGTTAGTAAGAGCTGTTACTATCTTAAAAATAATATTTCTTCTATTTCATAATTATTGTCCTGTTCGAATTTCTACTTTTAGATCAATTTGTACTAAAAAATTAAAATTTAAATTGAATGATAATTTCAAGACAGACGGAATATAAATTTTGAATTTTAATATAATTATTTTTTGAAATATAAAGAGTACCTCTTGTTGGTTGAATTGAACCTAAAAGAATTGCTTATACGCATGTTTATTATCAACCGAAAGGCAGATAGTTTAGTAGAAGCCACAAAACATATGGTTGACCGAAACTATTGACACCGCCTTCTTTTTGGCGCAATCGAACCAAAATGAATGAGACACTTCACTCTTGGCACCGTCCACTCTCGATTAATTGTGGGCGCCATAACTCCTTCACACCTATGTTTTTAATTATTTTTTTAAAAATTTTCTCCTTTAGTTCAATACTTGCACATATTTTGGAACATTTAGCTTATTGCACTGAGGTGAGATTAGTAATAGGGAGGAAATTCATACATAACGCTCTTTCTCCAATCTTTGTGCTCCAAAAATCTCATACTTAAGTGTTTTTCGGATATCTAGTGACAGTCAACCTTAGAACTTAGGGCCTGTTTGATAAAAAAAATATTGTTTAATTGTAAATGCTTAATACTGAATTAGAAATATTGATTTCATTAAACAGTTACAGGATAAGCAATAAGCTAACTTGTATTACTTATATTTTGTACTCCAGTTTCAACACCACTTATTTCATTAAGAGGTTCATTTTTTATTATCAAACATTCTGAATTAAAAAAGTGTTTAATCCAACAATTTTAAGCATTAAGTGAAGTTATCAAACAAATCCTTAGATCAATATGTGGCGGGGCTATTCTCTGTGCCACTCCACACAAATAATAATAATAATAATAATAATAATAATAATAATAATAATAATACAATTGGGTTAAATTACAAACTCCCCACCCTTTGGTTTTGTAAATTAAATTCATTAGTTAACAACTCAAGAACACTTTTTCCGACATTTCAATAGATAATAATAATTACCTAATTTGATACCATCTTTTTCCTAAAGTATTGGTTTATTCACACTTTTAAATTTTCTAATCGCGACATACACATAAAATACGGCTATTTTTTCTCCCCAATCACAATAGTATGAAATTTCATGTGTTTATTGTAGGGGAATTTCATGCGATAAAGTATAAAACATTTGTCTATTGAAATTTGCTATTTAAAGTAAAGAATCTCTACTTTTTTTTGTCGTGAAAATTGACTCATAAAACATTATACTTTTGTTTGGTATGAAATTTCCCACATCAAAATATGAAAACCATGCATTAGAACCATGAATTTCATAATTTAAAGTAACAAAAATTCTACTCTTGGTTGTAAAAATGATACCTTCGTTATGAAGTATCAAACTTTTATTTGGTATAAAATTTTATGACATAAAAAAGGGAATTTTTTTTTATGATAAAAAAAAGATTATCTTACTTTTGAAACTCAAGTTTTTTGTACTTGTGTTAGTCATATTTTCTATGTTATTTTATCTTGTTTAGTTTTATTGTTGTCATAGTGTTATGGTATGAAATTTTTTGGATGCAAGTATGAAAATTATGCGAGTGTCATTAATTTTGTGATTTAAGTTCATGAAAATTCTACTTGTTATGATGAAAATTGACACGTTTTATAATGAAACTCTATGTTTTTGTTTGTTCTGATCTATATGACAACTAACACATTCAACACCCATATGCGCATGTCTTGTTAATGTTTGATGGGGTTTCAATTGATGTTAAATATCATCATCAAAGTGCATGAAACTAATTGTTTATTACTTCATATTAGAATTTTAGGAAACTAGCTCACCATTTTGTATTAGAAATTCGTCTTCATAGAATTTTCTAATATTGTATACCTAAATAAGCAACTTTCATATTAACTAGTTTAAATTTTTTTTGTCAAAAAGCACCATTCTCAACAAAAAGATTCATAATTTTGTATACAAAATCGAAGGCGACATATGATCAATATATCTAACTCCACCTAGTGGGAAAAAGGCTTGTTGTTGTTGTTGTTGTCGTAATTTTTACAAACAAAGAATTCGTTCATGTTTTGATTGTATACTTTTATATCAAAATTATTAAATTTTCAGGGCAAATATTAGGACCATGAAAATTTTAATTTATTCACAATGAAAAGCATTGATTTTCGTAATGAACAAGTTAGAATCACATGATGAAAAGAAAATAACAATAATTTTGCCAGAGTAAATAAAAATTTTCATGGAAAAAAATGATTATGAGCTCAATTAATGAGAGAGTAAATATGGAGATAAAATAAGAATTGTTCGTTGTTAAAAGGAAACATTTAGGTCCTATTTGGTTGTTAGGAAAGTGAGAGAAAGTAAAGTTAACATTCCTTGGATTTTAATTCTAAGGAAAAAATTTTTTTTAAAACATTCTAAGGAAAGTAAGTAAAATAGATTACTTTCTTTTGTTTAGATACAATTAAAAACGTTAGTGAGTGAATTCTGATTTTTTTTTCATTTTTATTAATAAATTAAGAAATAAATTCTAATTACATTATTACCAA